GTGCGTGTGTATGTGTTTGCAGCTCAACACTCGCTTTCGCTCGCCTGCTTGTGTAGTGCCTGCTTGTGTGTGCTGTCATTTGCACGCCGATGGCACGCGCAGCTGGCTTTTGTGCGCCTTTTCAGTCGCAGTCCTCGGTCGCCAAGTACCGCTTGTCCGCTGACAAGGCCAAGAGTAACGTGACTTGGCCAACACAGCTGGCTAGCTGGCCAACTGGCCAACTATCGGCACATCAGCAGCAATCTTGGGCTTTGTTTTTCTCATTAGCAGGCGGCACTTTGCAGCAATGAATCAGCTCCTTTCACTGTACAAATTAAATATGAATGATACTAAAAATAAGCAATAATAGTGACAAAAACAATTATAAACTACTTCTACATTTTTTTTTAATCTATTTCTGTTTTTACTGCCTCAAACTTACCTTCTTAGTCTCATGTAAATTTAATGTTAGGTTATGACATTTTATGCCAGCATCCTTTAAGACATTACTTTATATGCAAGCCGCTTTTCTACGATCTTATCCTCAATTATTCGCCTAGTATGGGCATTGCCAGAGAACTGACGGGCTTGGGCACCTGTTCTCTTATAAGACCGTCCATAGCCAATCAAGTTTTGGTTCCTCAACTACCAAGGTACATTAGCTAGCGTTCGTTCTATTCTGACTCGATATTTAACAATGTGAAACGAACTGAATCAAAATAGAACATGATTATTCCCATCTAATCTATGCTAATAGACTAGCACAAAAATTATTTTATAAGGAAAATATAAGTAATCAGGCGCGTTCAGAATATTCAATTCAAATCAATTTAAATGTCGTCTTGCTTACAAATTAAATTAACAAAATGGCGGCAAATTTATTGAGCATAGCTCCGAAAAGTATGCTATATATATTTCTGTATAGTTTATTTGAAAATGTAATTCAGTACAGGCTTAAGGATTATCAATAAACAAAAAACATGTCTATTTATATGTACATGCATTTCATTATTCAGTTTAAAAGTCATCGGCTCACTGAGTGTTTTTAACAATACATTAAATATGTATAGCCACAAAGTGAAAAGCAAAAAAAAAAATAAATAAATAAACAAAAACAACAAATAAGTATGCATGCATCAATAAAGGCGTGTAATTCGTGGACATCCATCAACGCTAGGTGAGCTGAACAAACAAATGCCATCCATAAATTTATTCAAATAGTCTGATTTTCATTGCAATCAATAATTGATGGAGCTGTAATTCGAAATAAAAATAATACCAATTAATACATATTAAACTGTTTTTGGTGACTTTGGCTGATTGGCTGATTGATGATCAATGCGTGGCCCAGGCCCAAGTTAATTAATGTGTAAAATAGGTGAAAAACTTAGATATACATATATTACAGATAAGAGCTTTGTTGAATTCTACCAAACTAATGATTTATGCAGCCTTCTTCAATATTTTCAAGATGATTTGCAAAAATGTCTCTGAATTTTGATGCAAGTAAACCTGGCACTAACAAGCCATTCCCTGCCGCTGCTTTCTATTGATTACGAAATCTTGGCTTTGCATTTGACAATTTCTGTAATTATGACTGAATGCTCCATATACTGCCATTAATAGAAATATTTGTGGCGTATACGTGATATGTGTGTGTGGGTAAGCGGGAACTGGCAAAAGGCAAACAATTTTGCACTGATTGTAATGCGGCAGAGATTTATGTGTTGAATGAGGGGAGCTTGGCGCATATTTGATGACGGTTGCATGCAGTTCGCATGTACATGACAAATGACTTGCATTTAACTGAACGTACAATAAAAACGACAACGCTGACAAATTAACTAAAAAAAGAGAAAAGTACAAAAAATGTATTTATAATCATTGCACAATCAGAGCGATAGACTCATATGAGACAAACGACTACAATTAAACCTGAGGGATAACACACACACACACGCACACACACATACGAGTTGTGTGTTGTAAGTATTATGTTGTAATGACAATTGTCAACGATTATTTTCATGTTGAACCTGTTTCATTTGTTGTTGTTCTTCATATATACAATTGGGTCCATTTAACAACACACAAAATTAATAATAAAACGATTTCTGCAAATACCCTAAAGTGTTGTGGACATGGCAATTGTTTACACTAAATATATGTTTGTGAATTTTGCACACATTTACGCAACCAATATATAGAAAATTATAGTGTGCAACGTAATAATATATATATTTGGAAAATATTCTTTCTATTAGCCAGCATAACTCTTGTACTCGTTCCTCAAATCTGATGTCTGATCATAATTAGAAGTATAAGCTATGCAGACGTCAGTTAGCTAACAATACACACACACACACATACGAACACACACATACACACACACAGACTCGTTCACACTCTTGCAACGGAGCCTTGATTGTGAGGTTGCACATTTCAGCATTCACCTCATCCAATTGCCAATTTTCTTCGCTTTCATCTGGTTTGCTTTTGCGGTCGTTTTGGTCTCTATGTGTGAGTGTGTCTGTGTGTGTGTGTATGTGTGATTGTATCTATGTGTATGGCTGCTGTTGAGCTAGGGACTGGGAACCTTTTTACAATTTATAACAGATCTTGTACAATTTCCTACTCTTGCTCTCTGGGGCCACGCACACATCCGCCTTAAAACAGCTTCGTAGCGTTGATTTTCTTGTTGTTGCTGTTGTTGCTGTTCTTGTTGTTGTTGCTGGGCTTGATTTCCTGTTTTTGGGGCAGCGCTTTTAGTTTCCCATTTAACTAACCGCAAGCACACATTCGTCACCTAAACTGAGGATTTGGCACACGGGCTGGGGCGGGATTGCCATTTGCCTGTTTGTCGATTTCTGTTGTTGCCACTTACAAATTGGCTTTTGGCCACAAAATGCCAACGTTTGGTCACAAACAGCCGCAGCGTCAGCAGCAGCAGCAGCAGCAGTAGCATCTGAGCGAAAACCCTAATAAGCCAAAAGGTCAAACATTGTTACCAATATGCGAAAGTCCAAGAATTCTTTGGCCCTGTTTTCCCGCTCAACTGGGCAACTTTCGAATGCGGGCCACGTTGGCAAATGGCCGGCAGCAAAGTTTGACGAAAGCATCACTTCGACGAATTCATTTTTAATTTATATGTTAATCATTGCGCTACATAAATATGCTACCGACAGGCCAACCCGACAAAAAAAAAAAAAAAAAACAAGAACAACTGTCCTCATTTTGAATATGAAAATGGCATGCAAATAGTCACGGCCTTGGCTAAATGAATCGACAGAGCGAACGCCTCGAATGCAATTTAGCCATCTCATTGTCTATTTTGATTTCCGTTCTCTAATGAGCAGCAACAACAGCAATCTCTGGCTCTGACGTACGCTGGCCTCTGCTTTGTGTACTTATCAATGCCTCTAACGGTGCGTATTCATAACTGAATGATAATCATTGAATCCGAAATATATTCATTCATCCAACAATCTTATTTACTCGCAAGCATCAAAGTCAATCGGCTGCCTCTGTTTGCAAGCAAACTTCGGCATCAATTCAATAGATTTCCATGAAATACTAAAATTACGCAGATATTTTTTTTCTTTAGTCTCTGGTCACTCCCAACTAATTCCATTAGCAATGGTTCAGTCATTTTTTTTTCTCTCAGGCTTCTTTGTATTTGCATAAATACATAATAATATTCGAGATGGGCGTGCAGCACAAATTACTTAAGGGCCGTATAAATAAACTTGTGGTATGGGTAGAAGAAGAAATCCTTGAGTCCATCAAGCACATATACTCTTGCCTGTGTGTCGCTTTTCAGTTCAGTTTTCAGCTAGTTCATCTTGCCGCACAGTTTATAAAACGCCTTTCTATGCGATTTTATTAACTGAACTAAAAGTTGCAGACCTTTGCTGTTCTTTTATTGAAAGAAAATTGTTCTTTGTTGCTTCAGAAACAAGCTTTCTGCTCGCCCTCTCTCTCTCTCTCTCTCTCTCTCTCTCTCTCTCTCTCTCTCTCTCTCTCTTTCTCTCTCTCTCTCTATCTCTCTATCTCTCTCTATAATTATATCACTATTTCTTTCTGTATTTCTCTCACTCTCCCCCGCTCGCTCTCTCCCTCTTTCCCCCTCTCTCACTCTCCCTCTCTCTCTCTCTCTCTCTCCATCTCCCTCTCTCTTCCCCTCTATCTTCCCCTCCTCCGTCCTCTTCCACTTTCTCTCTCTCGGCTCTTTTCTCTTCTATAACTCTTTCACTTTCGTTCTCTCTCTCTCGCTCTCTCCTTCATTCTTTTTCTCTCTATATATTCTTTTACTGTCACTTCTTCTTCGAACTATCTGGCGTCGCCACAAATTTAAAATGCACACTTTAACATTTTTTCAAGCAACATGGATTTAATAATTGCTCAAAAGGTTGTGATAATTGAAGTTTTCGTTTCGTTGGAAAATGTTGGTAAGAAGTGTTATTACGGTTAAAAAATGTGCAATTTGAGCACAAACCAGTTCCAAGAAGAGGGTGAACTGTTATCGATTTGAAAGTGTATCAAAAATAAAACGAGTGTATGATAAAAATAAATTTGAATAAGACTGGCAGCAAATAGTAAGATTTGCTCTACAAAATGACTAAATAAAATGACCATAAATGTTTGTTAAGTATTCGAGATGTTTAAATTTAATTTGCATTCTATTGACTTCGAGAGCTTGGCGTGTGCGTCCCGAGTGTGTGTGCACACAGGACTGAACGGGACACTGTTTGGACAGAATGGCAATGAAAAATAATTTCTTTTGATTTGATTTGAATTTATTTCGATTGCCCGCTGCTCTTGGGCTTACCTTGAATACACGTCTAGTAGCAGCAGCTCGAGGATGCTCTCAATTGTCTGTCTGGGCTTTACAAATATTCAAATGGGACATCAAAAAAATTTAAGTTAGTGTAATTTTATTGTAAATGGCCACAAATGCAATTTCGTTTCCTATTGAGTATGTTTCCATAGCTTATTTTTCTACTTTCATTATTTCATTGCAGGATGAAAAGAATCAGTTGCTCATCACGAACATTTGGCTTAAATTGGTAAGTTCTAAAGTCGTTTAAACTTTAAGTATTAAACAATAAGTAAAGAAGCATTACTCAAATGCGAGCACAAATTATTCTCCTTTTCTATGGCACACATGAGTCTTGGCCAAAGATTTGTTGCCTTTCGGGCAATAAATTTCCCTCGGCCTTAGGCTCAATGCTCTCGCACGCGCAACCACAACGCACAGTGCAACAAATGAAATTGCCGCAATTTATCAAAACCCACAAAAAAAAAAAACAACAACAAAAAATACCGACAGACTGACAAAAAATGGCACTTGCCAAATTATATGAGGATGCTCACAGTTGAGTGGGAAAATCTAAAGAAATCACTTAATAGCTAAAAATCCGTAAATTGCGTAAATACCACAAATGCTGCCAGCCATCGCATTCATTTTCATTTAGCCCCATTTCCATTTTTTTATTTGCATTTCGATTCCGAGTCTGCTCTAGCTCAAGAGCCGCTCGCTGAGCTCCCAAAAAAAATCCTTTGAATCCTGGCTTTTCAGTCAGCCTGCTCCATTAAAATGCGTTAAATGCCGAGCTTGAGCCTGATCGACTTCTTAATTTTGAGCAGCATTTGTGGAAGAGCATTGCCTCGGCAAACTGTGTGGCATGGGACACAAACAGCTGCTGCTGGCGAGTGCAACTTGCCGCAGCAAATTGAGGCCATTGCGGCTTATTTGGCAAATCATGTGGCAACATAATTAGCAATGGAAATGCTTGCAAGTTGCCGGCAAGGAATGCCTGAATTCTGAGAATTTCATTTGTACATTTCACAATTGAACGGCAGCCATTATATGAGCATACTATATGCTCGATATACTCCGTTCATAAACGCTGAGCTCTGTTTAATTCACTTGCCGGCATTTTCAGCATATTTCCAATAATTTCAATATGCCAAATTTTCCATTAAATGCAAATTTAAATACAATTTTACATATTTCATTAAATTTCGTATTAAATTCACTTTACTGGGCCGGATACACATTAAATGGTTTATTATGGTATAAAACAGTTCATATGAAAGAAGAATTTAATAGCTAGAACTACATCGTATAATAGATAAACCAAATACACAAAATTCAATGTTTAAGAAAAACATTTAAATTGAAGACTTATAGTTAAATTTGTGTAGTACAAATATTTGCAAGCCATACACAAAATTCATTGATTCGATTACCTCCTCGAACAAATTCCTCGTGCTCTTGATTCATATTTTCTTTTATATTTTTAACTGAACATTCCCAATTATAATTGTTAAATATTTTGATTTATTTTCATATAAAGTATACTGAAGCAGTCGTAAGAAGAGAGTCTTGAATAATATGTATGTAATGTATGAAACAGGCAGAGGGAAGCATCTCCGACCCTATAAAGTATATATATTCTTGATCAGCATCAATAGCCGAGTCGATCTAGCCATGACCATGTCCATGTCTGCCTGTCCGTCTGTACGTATGTATGAACGCAAGGATATCAGATAAGAGTTAGAGACTTGAAATTTGATCTGTAGGTCCTCCTAGTCCATGCGCAAATCGAGTTTGTTTTCGATAATCGATAACTTACTCCGTTTCCAAGCAATCGATAAAAATCTTTTTTTTTTTTTTTGAGAAAATTGGATAAATATTAAAAGCTAGAGTCACCAAACGTGATATGTTGCGTCTAGAAAATTATATATATATCAAGTATCTTTCATTTTATACCTATCGCCACCTCCCCGCTACTACCTCATAGCTATAAATCAAGTTAATAACCCAACTTGTATTGCCCACCAATTTAAGCCACAATATAAATGCAATTAACTTTTGGATAATACACAAATATTCTATGGTACAATAGGATATACTGTAGAGAATTTCATTAAGATCGGTTAGGAACACACAGAAATTATGTGGTTTGATTGCCCACGTGTTTGCGGCAGCTAGAGCAAATACCAAGAATTCGTGTATACATGTACACACACACATTCATGCGCGTCTGCTCCGAATTCTATATACAGCATTGCAATTGCGATGGTTTAATAACACTCAATTATTGGTGTAGCTGTTGAGTAGAGGCTGTGGCACGTAGTGCGGTCTGTCGCGAGCTCAACCCCTACCGGGAATACTATGTATGTTGAGTAGAGACGGCCGCAAGTAATGCGGTCAGTTGCGAGTTCGAACCCTGCCAAGGGAACTTTTTTTTTATCGCGAGCTGAATTTTGTGTTGGAATAAGAGGGTTCACGGTATTCTCTAGTCGGAGCTCCCGACTATTCGGTTCAGTTAAAAATTCGGCTATTATTGATGCAACTTGTCCACTCAAAATAAATAAATTATAATAAGGGAAAAAGTAGAGTTCCAAACTCAAGATCTTATACTCATTTACAGCTAAGATAATTATCGATTAGTTTAGTTTTAGATTAATAATCACAATTATAATTAAAAACTATTGTTTGCAACGAGGCCTTAACTGATTTAAGACATTGCCACGGACATTCAGACCCAAGCTCAGAAAACTTTTTCGAAAATAATTCTGAAAGCAATTTAAAGACTTTGTCATAATTAATAAGAGTTTGTAATTAATTTAGAAACTTTCATGCTGCTTTATAGCACTTGCACCTGCAATTAGCAACAATTCTAGTTGATCCGTTATCAAATCAATTGATGTGCTCGGCTTCGGCCACGTGTCCGTACGAAAGCAATCAAGGTACATATACATATATGAATGATTAATACTCATAATTATGCGATTGTTAAATGGATGGCAATTGCTTCTTATTTGATTAATCGTTGCGATCAAATGCAAACTCGACTATTTCTACACATTAGGAGTTAGCAACAAATCGATGTGCTAATCGCCTTAAGTGTCACAAAAGCAACAAATTTAATTACGATAAGCACCGGACAGCCCCACCAAATTGTAATGCCTGTGGCATTCACACGCTCCCCCCACGACTCTTCTCGGACCACACAATCACACGCTTCCAGTGGGTGCCCATCTATCCATAAACGCACACTTAACGATGATTGATGATTAACGCACCTCCATATTATTTTCTATATTCGATAAATGGCCGCGTGGCATGGGGTAAGGGCCTCCTGTAGCTCCCGGGTCATGGCTAATTGATATGTCGCTTATTAAAAACGCACACAACAACAAACTCATGATGAAAATTGAGCTGTTAGATATGAGTGCCATACATTTGCTAATTGGATCGCATATAGAACATGCTTACTTTTAGAATATATAATTAATCAGATTCAAAATCAGATGCACATGCACTTAATACGTATTTGCATACTATTTGTACTGATAATTTAATTATGCTAATATAAAAAACCTCTATGTCTATATGCCCTTGTTTTGTTTCTATATTTATGAATGCATTTATTATGCATATTCTTATTTTAGCATGCAATGAGACATCTCCATAAAGTATATATATTTCAAATCAGCATCCAGCTATATAAGTCAAGCTTATATAGCCATATTTATCTGTCTGTTTCTATACGAACTATTCTCTGAACTCTGTCTGCCGAAGTTATCATTACTTTATCGTTTCAATCTATATTCATTTTAAAATTTTGTACAAACATTCTATTGATTTACGTTTGAATTATTGTTAAAATTTGTGTATGAAGGTGCATTCGAATATACCGAGTTTTTATGTGAACCGCATTTTGACTGCGATGAGAAACTCTTTCAAGCAAAAGAATCGAAATCCATTCGGTTATTAAAAAACAGTTCGCGCACTAAAAATTATTGCTGAATTCGCATTTGCTTAATTTATTCGACGAATGGACTCTAATTAATTAAGTCAGGCGTCAGCGACAGAAATCCTTTTGTTCGCTCGAACTGTGACCTAGCCGGGTTTTAGCGCAGTTGGGACAAAAGACGGCAGCACATCCATTTACTATTTTGAACATTAACATGTTTTATCTGTTGTTTATGTTTGTGTATTTCACAGGAATGGAACGATATGAACCTGCGTTGGAATTCCAGCGAATTTGGGGGTGTGCGCGACTTACGTATACCGCCCCATCGTTTGTGGAAACCGGACGTGCTTATGTACAATAGGTGAGTAAAAATGAGTGTCTATAAATACTATTCAATATTCACATTTCAATTGGAACGTATCTGTATTCAATTACTTATGTGTATTTCTTATTCATTTTTGGATCTTAGCTGATATCAAGCTGAAAGTGTTGCCAGATGGCTTAATAAAATTAACAAAGGACTTTAGTAAGGGTATCCCCTTCAATTTGAGTGCACTCGATAATAATAATCGAACCGGTTTATTTGGTTGGAAAAACTCGCTGTCAGTTTAATATCCACCGTGGCCATTCCAGAGCCTGAAAGGGCGGAAAAAATGATATAATGACATCAATGATGACAAGCAGTAAAAATGATTGCCAGTCGATAAACAAGAAAAAGTTGATATCCTCCGAAGCTGCTCCTTCTTTTTCCTCTACTTTTCTTCTTCTTCGTTTTGACACCTACTTTGTAGGTGAAACTGGGGCTTATATGGAGATACTTATGATGTTGCCACCTTGCTATCAAGGCAGACAATTCAATTGGGCTTTACTTTGTCTTTCTGTTTTTATGGCCAATTCCCATGGCCCATACAATGGTTTATAATTCTGCAATAAAAACCCTGCGGTTGCTGGCCGTTCTTTTCGTTGTTTTTGTTGTTATTATTGGCTTTGTGGCTGAGGCTTTATTGCTTTATTCATATAATTTTATTTGCATTTGCAACGTTTTGATAATAACGAAATTGTGTTTATTTTGAAAAAATCCTTTTCATGTTTATGAGTTGCTATTTGGTTGCCTACGTTTGCCATATTTTTTCCGTTTTTTCTTTCCTTTTGTTGTTATCAATTTTATTGTAATATCGCTTCCTTTTTGTCCACACACACACACACAGAGACAAATACGGACCCTTTCCCCAATTGTATTTATGCATGTGATATTTATGTAAATATGTACAAATTTGTAAAAATTACGTTGCCCTCCGCTAAACACAGTTTAAGTCGCTTTTTTTTTGGCTATTTTTTTTTTGCACGAAAATGTGGCAAATTTTACACGCTCTGTTGCTTAAATTAAATGACTGTAACTAAACGGAATAATTAGGTAATTTGTTATGCAAATAAAGTCGTGACGAAATCATTAACAAAAGTCAACAAACACTTGCTAACCAAATGTTGTATTTTAATAAAATGTAAATGTTAAATTGGTTTACTTATATTATTATTTTTCAATTTAAATTGCTTTTTCTATGGTTTTTGTGCTATTTTTTAAATAATTATATTCAAAATTTCACGATGGCTAACTTCAGGTCGAGTGCACTCGACTGAAGTATTTTTATACCCTGAACCCATTTAAAATGGGTATAAGGGTATATTGTATTTGTGCAAAATCCAAATGCATGTAACAGGCAGAAGGAAGCATTTCCGACCCCATAAAGTATATATATTCTTGATCAGCACCAATAGCCGTGTCGATCTAGCCATGTCCGTCTGTCTGTCCGTCCGTTCGTCCGTATGTACGAACGCAAGAACCTATAAGAGCTAGAGACTTGAAATTTTAGATGTAGGTGCTCCTAGGGCCTGCGCAGATCGAGTTTGTTTCCGATAATCGATAATTTACACCGTTTTCAAGTAATCGATAAAATCGATATCGATATCCTGTTTTTTGAGCAATTTTGGTAAATAATAAGAGCTAGAGTCACCAAACTTGACATATAGCTTCTAAAATAGAATATATATATGCATTTGATGTTGGAAGAAGAGGGTTCAGGGTATCCCCTAGTCGGGAGCTCCCGACTAGAACCTCTTACTTGTTTTACTTGTTTAATTGCGGCTTTGTGTTTAATAGCTGTAATAATTATGGCGCGCTGTTAACTTTCAGGTACTTGCCGGCACAACGTTGAACTTTACTTAAAAGAAAAAAGTAAATATTCAAAAATTGACTAGTTAGTCTGGGTTATTATGCATTTGATGTACAGCTTGAACACTTGTGTGCCGCAGTCTTAAAGCAGCCGCCAATTTGCTTAACTAAGGGAAAGGTGCATCAAGAAAGGCAAAGTGCAAGCTCGATTATATGGTGTAAATTCATGGCCCAGCGACATCAACCATGGCCAAGCAACTGTGCGAATACTCTTTAAAATTGCACAAGTGTAGCATTTTTTATAGGAAATAAAGTAACGCACCCGGCTGGCCAGCGTCGAGCAGCTGGCGGAGCAGTAAACGCACAAATTTTAATGCGTATTGGGGCAAGTTTTATGACAAAGTAAATGACTTGCTGGAACAAAAGGCGAGCGGCATGAGGCACAATTAAGAGGGGTGGGGTGCTCTTAAAGGGCGGCACAATGCGAACTGTAACAGCAACAGCAATAACAATGCCGGCAAAGTCTGTAAATGCCACCTACACCAACACCACCAATACCCTCACCAACACACACAAACATACGCAAGTATTTTATGATAGCTACTTGCATGTTGGCAGCGGCCAGGCTCAGCTTTCTGTTGTTGCCTCTGTCTCAAGATGGCTGAGATTTTGATGATGTGACTACAATAGACGCTGGCATAATGAATCATAATTTAACTGTTGACATGACCAAGCAACCGAGAGGAAAGATGTGGGCAGCTGGGGGGGAGGGACTTACTGAGTTGTTGGACCGAAGCCTAATGACAAAGACGAAAATATCAGCGAATAATGCTGTTCACAGCTGCGACAATTCATTTGTTAACACGCCAAAAGTGTTCCTCACGAAACATTTGACTAAAATATGTTGTTGTTTTACAAAATTTCAAAAGTCATAAACTAACAATGGACTTCAAACTTTTTATGCCAAGCTGCCAACTGAGCTTGGCGTGCCTATATACCCGTTATTATCGGCGACAAAGTGGGTATAATTAATAAATATTAAATAAGTTTGCCAGCGGTAAAAATTGAACCGTAAGAAATGAGCAAACGCCGCATTGCCTATAGATTAATCATTAATCAGTGCCATGCCGCCAAACACTTACACACACACACACACACACACACACACACACACACACACACACACACACACATACACACACACGAGAGACACCCACAGCAAGACGGCTCGCACGACGCGCGCAGCTGCCAGTGCAAAAATGATTTATGCGCAAAAGTATGCTACATAAATTTCCATATGCGGCGTTGCGGGAATCCGACTGTAAGAAAGGGTCTTATTAAATGCGTCAACGTGGCCAACACGAACCCGTTTTAGTTCTAACACCAACTGTACACACACACATCCACTCACACATAAACACATGTAAGAGATTTAAGTACCTTAGCCATGACTTATGCATTGCATATTTGCTTGCAGCGCGGACGAGGGCTTTGACGGCACCTATGCCACCAATGTGGTTGTGCGGAACAATGGCAGCTGCCTGTACGTGCCGCCCGGCATCTTCAAGTCGACGTGCAAAATCGACATTACCTGGTTCCCCTTCGACGATCAGCGCTGTGAGATGAAGTTCGGCTCCTGGACCTACGACGGTTTTCAGGTGAGTGCACCATAGCCCCGTCCTACTGATTACCACACACACCAATACATCATATGTAGATGCCTGCAACTGGCAGCACATAATAAATATGCTGTCAACTTTTGCATAAGACCTACTACTTGCTCTTTAGATTTATCATAATTTAATTACTCAGCTGTCGCAACGTTAGAAGTGCAATAATTAATAAAAATCGAATTCATAAGTCAAAACAAGCAAATTTCAACTTTGCAACAAATTGATTTGAAGATGTTCATCGTGATGTACAAATGTGGTTGCTATATCGAGTCTATAGGTCGTCGCAGCTCTGTAAATTGAAATTGGAGTATTTTGGCCAGAAAAATATACATGGTACCATCATAACCATCATAGCATTCATGACAATAGCGAATAGTTTCAATATTGTTCAGTCAATACAACTTATTCACATAAACTTAACACTTCTTTGTACAATTTTGAATGAGAGTCTGACTTTTTCAATTGACCCAATTGAACACTTTTTTTTCAATCGCAAATATTCGATAAACAATAAATAGTTACTTCTGCAATTTCTGTTCATTGGCTTGGATATTTAGTATTTGCGAGTGTTCTTACAGTTAAATATTTGCCATTTTCATTGATTAAGCGGCGAATTAATTTAAATAAGTCGCCATCGATGCTAGCGTCAAGATGTCGGCTCAGAAATTAATTACAGCCGCTTGATTTATTTTGCTATTTACTTTCGATAAGAGCGCTCATTAATTAATTGCTGCTTCCCATTGCTCATTATACGATTTACCAGATATATATACATATATATATATATATATATATATATATATATATATATATATGTATATATATATATATATGTATGTGTGTGTATGCTATAGCTAATAAACAGATATACATACACACATGTGCTGCGATATATGAATAAGATATCTCTAAATCTAGTTGAATTTATGACAAATTGCATTTCCTGCTTTGTGGCTTATTTTTAATAGCAACACTTGTCAGATATCAGATACGATGAGTCCGCAAATTTATAAAATAAGCTCTGTTGTTAGAGTATACATTAATAAACTGACCATGGATGGCAGTGTGAAATGTGTAACTCCTATTTGAGGCTATATGAACCAATATAAAGTGAGGGCGCATAATAAATGGGAATACGAAAGTGTGTGAAAGGGATTCTCATTATATATTTAACAAAACTATTTTGCAGAATTCTTTAACAAACAAAAGTATTCTTTTTTTACAACACTGCTTGTCAAACGCAGAGGTAAATTTTCATCAAAAAAAAAAAATAAAAATTGTGTACCATTAAATTTATAATTTTCGTGAAAAATTAATAAGAAAAAAACAACATTGAGCCAAACAACATTGGGCATGGATGTTAGTGCATCCACGCCCTCTCAACCGAGAGAGCTGCGACCAGAATTCGCTAAAATGATGAGAATTGCTGGCGCTACACCTGCGGAAATTCGTGAAATGATTTCCCTAAATACTGTAAGTGCTTCAAATACTGCAATTAAGTGCAGTAGTAGCAATTTTGCAGCAACGACATGCACATTGACGTCGACAAACTCCATCTACGCGTCTACCTACACTGTCACAACTTCAAGTGGAGGAGTGTGCACCATCCCAAATATTAACTACAAAAGTGTAGTTGCAGGCGCACCAGAAAATAATATCAATGAACTAGGAAAGTCATCAGTGAAATCACTCAGCTGGATGACGACCAAAATAAAACGTAAGCTGCCTTCAAGCTCTCCAAAAGCAAATGGTAAAAAAGGGAGGTTAATTGCATCTCAGATATCGATGGACAGACGTCTAAAGGAGATCCCAATAAACTCAAAAAACCAATTTGCAATACTGGATAATGAAGAGAACGATGATCCTACAGAGGAGGAAATAGCCCATGCCGAGGCACTGGCAGAAGAGATGGAAGTAGAGCTGAATGCGGAAAAAGAAGCCAGAGTACCCAGATCCAGGAAGCCACCCCCCATCTTCATTGAAAATGTAAACAATGTGACCCAGATGGAGGCAGAGCTTGATACAGTCATTGGGTCAGATAGTTATACCCTCCACGTTGGAACACAAGGAAAAGTAAGAGTTCACGTTGAAAACTCGAATTCATATCGAAGCCTAGTGCAGTTTCTCAAAGAAAATAATGCACATCACTTTACATACCAACTGAAGGAAGACAAGGCCTTCAGGATTATCGTCCGCAATTTGGCTAGCACCACCCCTGAAGATAGCATTAAAGAGGAGTTTATGCGATATGGACACAATGTCCTTCATATCCACAATCCTCGTCCTCGTAAGGCCCAACAACAGGAAAACGGTGAAGCTATTGAGGAACTAATACAAAATAATTTCTTTTTCATTGATTTGGCTCGCGAGCCTAATAATAAGGATGCGCTGAAAATCAAGCAAATAGGGCGACAAAGAGTCTTGGTTGAAATACCAAATAAAAATTTGAATGCCATCCTGTGCCACAGATGCCAAGGATTTGGACATACAAAAAACTACTGTATGAGGCCTTATACCTGTGGAAAGTGTGCTCAAAATCATTCAACAGCTCAATGCAAAGAAACCTTGGTTGAGAATCTTTGCTGTATCAACTGCGGTGGAAACCATGAGGCTTGGCATAAGGGGTGCAATGTGTTCAAAGCTAGAACGCAAGAAAGAAGACCAAAAGTAAGTCTAGGATTTAAAAGTAATGTCAGTGGCAAAAAAGACCGTCAGCAACACATTCCAGCAACCTTAGTGCGAGGAAATATTTCGTACGCCGATACTCTGCGTACTGGGCTGGAAAAGTTCAATAAAGAGACGTCAATTAGGAACCCTACCCCCAAGCACCAAGATACCCCACCCCACAATAGTTCAAGGCTGGAGGCTGCAATAGAAGCACTCACTGTGAAAGTCGACACTCTACAAGCTATGTTTAAGGAACTTCAGGAGACGAATCAGTTCCTAAAACAAATGTGTCTGAGTCTATTGAACGCCAAAAAATGATGCACAATTCACTAAGCCTCGGATTGTGGAATGCCCGTGGTATCTCTGGGCATGTGGAGGAGCTTAAGCACTTCCTAACTGAACATAATATTGACGTGATGCTAATTACAGAGACCTGGCTTCAGACCGGTGTATCCATCTTTCCATTCCAGGCTACAAAATTCACAAAGCGGATCATCCTAGCGATAGAGCAAGAGGAGGAGCGGCGGTGCTTATTAAGCAGGAGATCGAATATTTCCAAAATGAACCGGTAAGGATGGAGAAATTGCAAATGGCCAGCATCCAGATTGCAACTAGCAGGGGTGAATTAACCATTGCTTCGGCATATCTCCCGCCGCAACTGTCGTGGTCAGCAATGGAATTCCAGCAACTTTTTAGCGGACTAGGAAGAATGTTCCTTATAGGAGGCGATTTTAACGCCAAAAACAGATGCTGGGGTTGCTTTAGAGCTAACGCAAGAGGCACCTGCTTACTGGACGCGGTGCAAAACTCATCATCTGAAATACTAGCGACTGGGCAGGCCACTCATTTCCCGTTTGCCCAAAGTTACACGCCGAGTGCCATTGACTTCTTTATTTATAACGGACTTCACCCAGATGGCTTAAGGATAAGGCCTGAGTTTCAGCTATCCTCTGATCATATCCCACTAGTAGTTGGTTACGACTGTATTTCAAAGGGCAAAACAATTAAAGGTCGTCTGCTGCCTCCTGGAGCCAACATTGCTGCTTTTCGACGAGATCTAGAGGAAACTCTAGACCTAAACTTGGAAATACTTGCACCAGAAGACATCGAAGATGTATATGCGCTATTCCTGAACAAGGTTCACTCGGCAGCCCTCATTTCTGCGCCAGTAAGCCGATCAGAAAGCTCACGACCACAAGTGAGACTTCCGCCAGCAATCCATACACTACTGCTGATTAAGAGAAGGATTAGAAGGCAGTACTGTCGAACCGGAGATTCAATTGTGGACAGGATCTACCGTAGAGTGTCGAACCGTGTCAAAAAGCTGCTGCAGCTGAATAGACAAAGGGAAACCGACCGTTTTTTGGAAAATGTTTCTCCAGATGAATCCTCAAGTCACTCCCTATGGAGACTGACGAGAAAGCACAAACAGCAAGTGTCCCCCAAATTTCCGATCAGAAAGCCTGATGGATCTTGGGCCAGATCCCCAAAGGAACGGGCTGATGCATTTGCCGAAGACTTGGAGGATCGCTTCAAGCCTTTTAATACAAGTTCGGCAAGCATGAACAGAAGGGTTCAACTCACACTGGAGAGCCCAGGCCAGCTAAGCCTCCCAGTTGCTCCAATCACTGTCAACGAAGTATCAGACCACATAGCAGCACTTAAGACAAGAAAAGCTCCTGGCGAAGATGGCATCGACAACATAACACTAAAAGCATTGCCGGTCAGAGCAGTCCTATTTTTAGTGTTAATCTTTAATGCGGTATTGAGATTGGGGCATGTTCCAAGCCAATGGAAAAAGGCGAGAATATGCATGATCTATAAGGCTGGAATGAGCCCCTCGTCCCTAGACTCATACAGGCCTATTAGTTTGTTGCCCACGATCGGAAAACTATTCGAACGTTGTCTGCTTACGAGACTGCTGTCTTTGGACAGAATTAAAGAAAAAATTCCCCCCTTTCAGTTTGGGTTCCGAAAATCTCATGGCACACCGGAACAGCTAAATAGGGTGGTGAATTTTATCCTCGAGGGTTTCGAAGCCAAAGAGTACGTAGTGGCAGCGTACTTAGACATAAAACAAGCCTTCGACAGAGTCTGGCATGATGGGCTACTCTGCAAAATTAAGCCCTTACTGCCACCTCAACTATATTTAATTGTGCAGAGTTATTTGACAAACCGGTCATTTTCGGTAGTACTCGATGGAGTTGAGTCAAACATGAAGGCCATCGGGGCTGGCGTTCCTCAAGGGAGTGTGCTAGGGCCCACGCTCTACACCCTCTTTACCTACGATATGCCCACTGGCTCTACAATTGAAGTCG